CCCAATGCTGTATGGTAGAAGGTTAATAACATAACAGTATGGTAAGCAGCAATCATCTCTACCTACAATTTTATGTTCTCTATTTTTTGTAGCAAGATACCATTTTGTACAAATGCTGCATGAACTATTAATTGAGTGCTGTCAGTATACAGAGGTATACAAACTCAGCGGTTCCTTCTAGAATTATATTATAATTCTATTATTGCATAAATTATTTGAATAAAACATTCTAAAGTGTCACTTATGCTGGTAAAAAAAAAACAGGTCTGAATTACAGTTATTTATATTAACTTTTAAAGCAAATAAAAAGTAAATAATCATTTCTTGTAATTTAAAAGATAATCACTCAATAAAATTGAGGATGTATGTAACAAATTTTACATACATCCTCAAACAAACAGTTATTTGAAAAAACAAATTTATAAAATTTTAAATATAGAAATATTCAAAACACCTCTTTGAAATATCTCTAACTAAAGTTATATATACTGTTTACCTGCTGTTAAGTATTATGATTATGTTATAGTTTATATAACATAATCATAATACTTACTAATACTTACTGTACTAAGTAAAGTACAACCAAATAAAAAATAAAGTAGATATAATTATATATAAAAAAAATTCTAGAAGGAACCCCTGAGTTGTGCGTACTCACAGAGCTCAGCTAATAGTTCATGCAGCATTTGTAAATTTGTGATATTGCTTGATTGATTGATTGATATTTTTTTTTTTTTTTTTTTTTCTTTTTTTTTTTTCTCTGTTTACATAACATAAGAATTTTACAGATTCTACTACATAATATAAAATTTAACAAAATAAGTAAAACAGATAGGGACTCAAAGAAGATGAGGATGACAGAACGTCATCGCAATCTTTTCATAGAACCCCTTTAACAAGATTTAATTAAAATATCGTAATATGACATACAAAATAAAAATGTCAATAAAATATCATAACAAAATGCGTAATCCGCTAATAAAAATTGTCAAGCAACAAACAAAAGCAGAAACAAAAAAAAAAAAAACATATTTAAGAGAATTTATCCAAAGCATTATTAACAAAAAATGTTTCACCGGTTTTAAAGATATTTATTAGAACAAAGTATAAATATATGTTCTAAAGGACACGAAGGCCCATACAAAGATGGACACTAACAACGTGCCCAAAGAAATTTAAAAATTTCGCTACAAAAAAAAAATAAATACCAAAACTATAAAGAAACAAATAGTTGTTCCTTTTACAATAGATATTTGTTAAAGTCGAAAGATTTAATTTTATTTTTGAACGTTATTTGCATTTACAGCCTCCGAGGTCATATTGTTCCGCATGTCAACAACTCGGTAAGAAAAGCTATATTTTCTTAAATCCAAGCGACAAGATTGTTTGCTTATTTTATAGTTATGACCCCGGGTGTGGCTGTTATTGTCAATTGCAAAGAACATAAATTGATCAGTACAGACAAGTTTACGAAAAATTTTAAAGTAAGTAACTAAGTCGTTTTTAATCGCCGAACTTCGAGTGATTTGATACCAAGCAACTGTATTCTATTATGATAGGAAAGATTTCTAAGGCTCCTTATTTTTTTTGTAAATTTTTGTTGGACACTTTCAACTGATTTAATCAATCCAATTTGGTGTGGCGACCATACTGGAGAACAATATTCTAAAATTGGTCGTATATAGGTAGTGAAAGCTCTAACTAGGATACAAGGGTCACGTGTTTTAAAACATTTCAAAATTAAGTATGCTCTAGAGTTAGTTTGATGGATGACATTAAAAATATGTTTTTTATAATTAAGGTTACAGTCTATTATTACTCCTAGACCTTTTGGGTTTGAAGACCGAGCCAAAGAATATTCACCTAATTTATAGTTAACCTTTATACCTTTGCATAATGAGAGAGGTGCTATTCTAAAGGCAAAACACTTACTACAAGCAATTATTAGTTGCCCATTGTAAAAGTCTATTTAAAGCAACAACTAAATCTTGGCTTATATCCATATTACGGTACGAGCTATATAACTTTATATCATTTGCGTAAAGTTTTACACAACAGTCCAGATTATTAGTTATAGCGATTAAACCATTAACATATAATAAAAACAATGTGGGACCTAACACGCTACCCTGTGGAACTCAACTAACAGTGCGTATAGAGTTTGATATAGAATTACCGACCTTGACTTGTGGATATCTATCGGTGAGAAAAGCGGAAATCCCATTTAAAAGATTACCTTTTATGTTATAGGATGCAAGTTTTACTAATAGTTTGGTATGCGAGACAGAGTCAAACGCTTTTTGGAAATCAATAGACAACATCCGTTATTTGATGGTTATCGAGTGCGGTGTTCCAATAATTAGCAGATTCTAAGAGATTTGTTTGGTTGAACGTTTGTTGAGGAAACCATGTTGATTAAGAGATATTAAATGATGATGACTTAGATACTTTATGACATACACATTGATCATTCTTTCCATGACTCGAGAGCAAGTGCATGTCAGTGAGATGGGTCTATAATTATTTGGATCTGCAGTAGCTCCTTTTTTAAAAACAGGAGATACAAAAGCTTGGCGCCTTTGTTTAGGTAAAGAACTTGACATAAAACTGGCATCAAATATAAAGGAGAGTGAAATACACAATAGTTGAGCTAATTTTTTCAGAAGTATGTTAGGTATGCCATCAGGACCGTACGATGTGCTGGCTTTAATTCCCTTCAAAGATTTATACACTGCTTCTGATGGAAATAGTACAGTTTCAATACCAATTGAATCATCAACATAACTATTAATAAATGGAGTGCAATTGTTATCATTTGTAAAGACACTGCCAAAGTGTTTGTTAAATACGTCAGTGATTTCCTCGTTACTACAAGTTAACTTGTTATTATTGTTTTTGTCTTTTAGAGTAAAAATACTTTTAGAGTTATTTAATTTTCTATTAACGTAATTAAAAAATTTGCTGATATTGTTTTCCTTTACAAGTTTAAGTTCAACTCTCATTTGGTAAGTAAGTAATGATTTTTTACATTTACCAGCGTATTTATTATATGCTTTTGTTATGTGTAATGTTTTTAGTATTTGACCATCTTTTCCATAAGAAAGCTTTACGATTTAACATTTTACCGATAAAACTCGGGTAGTGTTTTATTTTTTTATTAAAATTACTCTTTCTAATTGGAACAAATTGATGAATACCATTGCAAAAATGATTGGAGAAAACGTTCCAATAATCTTCAACTGTAAAAAAAAAGGAAAACTCGAATTCCCAATTAATATTTAATAAATAAGACTAAAAAGCATCTATGTATTATATTAATAGAGAAGTGGACAGTGTTATGGTCACTGGTGCTGAAAGGAAATTTAACTGAAATAAGACTGAGAAATGAGATATTATTTGAAAATACAAGATCAAGAATATTATTTTCACAAATTGAAAATTTGTGAAAATAATATTCTTCCTTAATATCTGTACAAATTAGTGCAAACCAAGATTGTTCACTAAATTTAAAAAATGACACTTTTCGTTTGGTGATATCTATTTGAAATACTAATTTATAATAGTTTATTTTAAAAAGATATTCAGCTGCCTACCATGCAGTTGTGTTATTAACCTTCTAGCATTGGGTAGTTAAGAGCTAAAAGGTACATAAATTTGTAGAAAAAACAATAACAATTAATTTATTGTAAAACTAAAATTAAAAGAAAGTAAATAAATGAAATATAAATAAAAAAATGATTAAAATTATTTCAGTTTTTCACATTTAAAATAATTATTAGAAAATTGTTTGGAAATTATAAAATTGGATAACTACTAGGTTCATATTTGTTTTTTTATTTCTACTGATAGGTTATAACTAGTTATGAAATATTAGTGGAACCTAGTAGTTAACTACTAGGTTAGAGGTATAATTCTTTACTAATGTTAAATAAAATAATTTTTAATTAATTTAACTTAAAAATTTTATCTTATTTCATTAAATTTATAAAAAATTAAAATTACACAAACTTATTGTTTGAATAGCCCTTACGGAAATTTTCCATGGAATTCCATGGGAAATCCATGGAAATCCCATGGGTGAACCATGGTTTCCCCGTAGAAATCGAAATCCCATGGGATTACAATCGGCTTTTTTTCATAGCTCATATTGCACCATGGGTTTTAGAAATGCGCGATTAATAATGCCGACGTTACTTGTTTCAATCATTTATAACTTGACCAAATATAATTTTATGCATTCGTTTTAACCATTTAACAGTCCCGTGTATTTTTTAAAATACGGTCGCAATAAGTCCAGCTTTTTTTTTTTTTTTTAAAGTGGTCGCTAAATGTCCCGTGTTTTTTAAATCATCGTGTTTGTTGACAAACAAAATAAAAATTTTTTTTACTGTTTTTAACCTTTTTAAACACTCCAAAACGTCACTATTCAAGTTTAATAATATATAAATCATACTATATAAACAAAAAATTGTAAAAATGTATTCACTAATATTCACTTTTTGCATGAGAATTGGAAAAGCATGGAGCTGCACAATGTTTTATATTCTAAACATTCATATCTTGAACCTTTTTGATTTATGTGTTTGTAACATACCGCACACCTTCTTTGAGCATTAATCTTTTGTTATCATTTTCAATAATCATTCATTAAATATATCTTTTCATGATTGATTCATCAAATGTATAATTTTTATCCTTTAGTGAGTAAGTACTTACATTTTGATAATTATTTTTGCACTGAAAGAACTTCCTTATTTGTCATATTTAAAATTTAAGTAAACACGTGTAAAAGTAACTAATTGAAACAAAAACTTTTTAATTATGTAGTAATAAATTTTGTGACAAGTAGACTGAAAAAGAAGAAAATATAAACAGATGTATGAAAACGTAATATTACGGCATGGACATTTAGGAGCCACTTTTAGTTTGCGTAATATTACGGCCTGGACTTTTAAAAACCACTTTTTATTTGCGTAATATTACGGCATGGACTGTTAACGAGTTAAGTTGGTTGATTAATGTATAAATCTTTATACTTTTACTTTCTTCTTTTATTAAATTACTACATTATAACCAGGCAGGTTTGATTGGTGATATAAATTATGTTGTTCATTTATATCATTTGTAATATTGTCAGTTTTTATATGCATTTAATATTTTTAAAGATAATTCATAAGCTATCTAATTAAAATGGCGAATTGTGTACAAATTAACCATAACAGATATAAGCGTTATCTTTGGGATGCAACTTATAATGATATTCCAAGAACAACAAAGTGGAGAAGGAAAACAACGGTAATGTTTTAAAAATATTAGAAAGAAAGGTTAGTTAATAATCAAGATTTTACTTTACAATTATAAGATTTTACTTTACAATTTTTATTAGTATTACCCATCATTAGTGTTTGTTAATTTTTGTTTATTAATAATTTCCATTTATTAGATTTAAGTTTAATAAGTGCCTCAAAGTGTACATACAACAACTGATATAGCCGTAGGCGAAACAGCGTATGCTTACGACTTATTTAGGTATAAGCGCAGCAAAGTCTAAATTTAAAAACTGACTTGAAAAGGAATGGGTAAAGTAAAATGTACATACCAACGACTGACTTTGATAGGGCTAGACCTGTACATAGATTGACTGAGGGTTTTGGTTTGGGCAGGCAGTATATAATTAAAAAAAAAGTCTTAATTTTTTTAATACTGGCGTAAAAAAAGTTATAAAAGTAAATTAAATAAATAAATATATAATAAAATAAATAAATACATAATTTAAATTGTTTTTCTAACAACTAAACTAAGAAACTAACCAAATCACTGTATTTAATACGTTCAAATTATTTCTTTAAACGCGCTGCCGGCAATTAATCTCAAAATTATTTGCCGGCACTGCCGGCATTTACCGCTAGCCTTTAATTGTAAATTTATAAACATTGCTTTTATTATTATTTTATATTAAAAGCAATGTTTATAAACAATACATTATTATTTATTATAATCATTTTTATTTGTATTTTTTATTTTTTTTATATTTAAGCCCTCATCTAAGGTAAAATTAATTTTATTATGCACACACTTTTTTATTTATTATTTTCTTACATTACTATACTTAATAAATTATGTATTTATTATATTTATTATGTTTTAAATAGTAAAGTAAAAATATAATAATTTTTTGAATGTAATAGTGTATGCATAAGACTTTTTATTTTAACTTTATAGTTTCATTTAAATTACTGCATTAGTAAGCAGGCAGGTTTTAATGGCAGTAGAAATAATGCTTTAGATCTTTTAGATAGTTCGGACAAAGAAATAAGCTTTTCTTAAATAACAATTTATGAGTAATAATATATTTTTTGTGCCTTGTTCTATATTAATGTTACCAAAATGCAGTTAACATTTATATATGTGAATAAATCTTTTCATTTTAACTTTATCATTTTATTTAAATTACTACATTATCAGCAGGCAGCTTTGATTGGCAATGTAAATGATGATGTACATCATGCAGAGAGCTCAGATGAAGAAGTAAGTTTTTTTTAATTACAAATTAAAAGCAATACTTTAATTGTTTTATGCAAGTGTTACTGACAAGCAAGTAAGATTTATATATGTAATAATTTGTGCGTAAATCTTTATATTTTAACTTTATTATATTATTTAATTTATTACGTTATAAGCAGGAAATTCTGTCTGGCAATATGAATGATGTTTTGCACTATGCAGATAGCTCGGGTGAAGAAGAGGTAAGAATCTTATAACTATTATTTTTAAATGATGATATAATCATTGCTACTTTTTTCAATATAAATGTTGCATGCTGCCAACATTTATATAGAACGTTCAAAAAGTTGTGTGGATGCCTAATTTTAAATTAAGTTATAACAGATAACATATATAAGTATAAATAAATTAGTATATAAAGAAAGTTAATTAGTATGTGTATATTAATTTTATCTAGATTGGTGAAGCAGACAATGATGTTAATTTTGATGAAAACAGTAATGAATATAATGTCAACAATAATTTATTTACCGATCCTTTGTATGAAGAAAAAATTCTACCTGATTCTGCAATTACAGTTGGCAGTGCAATCGCTCTTATAATGGCCTTTGTTTTGCAGCATAGCTTGACAAAACTTGCTTTGGATGATTTGCTTAGCCTATTGCATATTTTTATACCTCATTTATTGTTACCAAAAACTAGGTATTTGTTTGATAAAATATTTAGTGTTTGCCAAGGCAAACTGGAACAACATTTCTATTGTAATAAATGCTCTACATGTACATATTTGGGTACCACTATAAGTGATTTTGATGTTTGTCCAGTTTGTGAAGTTGATGTACAAAGTAGTTTGAACAGAGATTTTTTTCTTGTGCTGCCACTTGAACATCAGTTACGTGAAATGTTAGAAAATAGTAATTTATTTGATCTTATTCAGTATCGTTTTGATCGTGTTAAAAATAATGCAGACAACATTGAGGACATTTATGATGGATCTTCATATAAATCTATTGCAGAGTTGCAACAGACAATAAATATGTCATTAACATGGAATTGTGATGGAGCAAGTGCTTTCAGGTCATCTATAAAAAGTATTTGGCCTTTGCAATGTGTAATAAATGAGTTGCCTTTTAACATTCGAAGGAAGCATGTGTTGTTAACTGGTTTATGGTTTGGTGCTAAGCCTAAAATAAATACGTTTTTAAAGGTGTTTGTCGAAGAATGTTCAAAATTAGCAAGTACAGGTTTTTTGTGGTTTAATAAAGCTCAGAATAAAAATATAGTAAGCAAGGTTTATTGTTTAGTATGTTCTTGTGATTCTTCTGCAAGGTGTGTTTTGCAAAATATTAAACAATTTAATGGAAAATATGGATGTTCGTGGTGTTTAAATCCAGGTATTGCAATTAGTAACAGTAATGGTGGACCTCCAAAACGTGTTTTTGATAATCAGTTATATCCAAGCAGAACTTTAAATGGATTTGTTGATGATGTGAGGTATCTTGTAGAAAATGGAGAAATAAGAAATGGTGTAAAGGGTGCCAGTCCATTGTTACTGATTCCTTATTTTAATATAATTGATGGATTTGTTGTGGATTACATGCATTGCATTTTGCTAGGAGTTGCAAGACAGATGAGCGTCTTGTGGCTTGAAAAGAACAATGAGCCATGGTATATTGGAAATAAAATTAACAGTATGAATGAAATGATGTTAAAAATAAAACCACCTAATAATATTACGAGAGCACCAAGATCTTTTCATGAAAGAGCACATTGGAAAGCCTCAGAATGGCGTAACTGGTTGTTATTTTATTCTTTATTTGTTTTACATGGTGTTTTACCACAAGTTTATTATAACCATTTTTTGTTACTAGTGGAAAGTATTTACATATTGTTAAGCAAAAGTCTTAGCCATGCAGACCTAGATCAAGCTGAAAATCAATTGCATGTGTTTGTGTCTGATTTTAGTGTTATATATGCCATTGATTATATGACTTACAATATTCATTTGTTACAGCATATTTCTTCTACTGTTCGTGAGTGGGGTCCATTATGGGGCATTTCTAACTTTATGTTTGAAAACAGCAATGGTTTTTTGTTAGACCTTTTTAAAGGTACACAAAGTGTACCACTTCAGATATGTCGTACTTTTACTCTATACAGAAATTTGCCAATTATAGGTGCTAAATATTTAAATACTGTACCAGAATCCGTAATAAAGTTTTTTGATCAATGTTTATCTAGAACAAATACATCAGGAAAAGCTATTTGCATTACAGAAAATGTAAAACTCTTTGGTGCACCAAAGTATAAGTTTCTAACCAATGCTGAAAAACGAGCTTTAGAGACAATTTTGCCTAATGTAGTTCCAGATCAGTTAGCTTTTTTTGAAAGAGCAGTTGTCAATGGCCAAATGGTGCAAAGTCAGCAGTATGTTAGGAGTTGTAGTAGAATTAATTACTGCGTAGTTGTAAGAGATAATATACTGTGTCTTGTTAGCTCATTTGTTATTGTTAACAATGAGTGTTACGTGTTCTTGATTAAACTCACTACAGGGAGATGTGCGTTTTTGTCTCATAATGCTATATCTAGACATATTATGACAACTACTGGTTCTAACAGTAATACTTTGGTTGCCATGCTTGCTAATGAAATTCAGCAAAAGTGTTTATTTTTACCTTTAAATGTATTTTCTCTTGTAACATCGTATGTGTGCTTTCTGCCCAATCAATGGGAAATTGACTAATTAGTTATTTGCATTTGATTTAATCCGGTTGTATAAATCTGTTGTTTTATTTATTTGAACGTTAATTATCTTTTTTATTATGTTTTTATTATGCATCATGTATTTTATTCTAGCTTTTGTTAGCATTATTTAAAAGTTTAAGGTTTGTTGAAAATATAACTATGTTTGTTATAACTATTTTAATTTTTTGTTTTCATTATCATTGTATTTTTTATAATCTACCAATTTCTCTATAATCCTTTTCTTTAATTATTAAACCTTTTATAGATATTAATAGTATAAATAATATCATTTACTTGCATTCAGTAATGTATATTATTTTGCACAGTGCTGTGCCAGACAGTTATTGCTCTAACAATCCGCACCTCCTGTTTAGTTTTGGGCCCTACATTATGTGTTGAAAAGTTGAGAAACCAACAAAAACACCTATTTCATAATTTTAGTTTTCTCAAATATTTCAAAAATTTCTGGGCAGCTCTAGGCATACCACTCATTTCGCTCTAGATATCTAGGACCCTATATATTCAGATAAAGTATTAGACTATTATAAATAAACAAATTAATGTTTGAGTCTGAATTATATTTATTGAAAATTTAACCTTAGAATAGGATAATTTTAGTTATTTGAGGGGCCTCACAGAAATTTCCTTGCAAGGCGCCTTAAGGTACCAAGTTATAGTTTCTAGTTCTAGTCTTCTTCGACTTGGTACCTTTTTCTTGAGGCACCTCACTTATTTTTATTTAAGAGCAAAGTAAATAGCAACTTGACTTGTTTTTTTTTTAATTTAATAAACTTGTTATTTTAAGTAATTAGTTTGTTGTAAAATGCATAGCAACATTGTTTAGGCTTTTTTCATGCAATTTTTACTTATAAATTAAATGAATAAATTAATTTTATTTTATTAAATTATAATATATTAAATTAGTAATTAAATTAAATTGTAAATTAAATGAAATAAGCTAAATCATTTAAATTTTTTAAATTAGTTTAATACAAAATTGAAAGTTTTATTGTGTAACTGGTTGTTTTCAGTAGAGTGCTTGTAGTTTTGTAAAAATTGTTTTAATATTTTTTGTGTGTGAATAGTGCTCTAACAATTTTTTTTTTAATAGTTATAAAAATATACTAATAAATAAACTAAAGATGAGTCACGCTTTAGTGTTTTGGGTTAACAGCCAGCAAACTTCAATTGTGCCTTCAATCGCTGTTAGTGACAAGCGAATGCTTACTGACAATAAAAGAATTGGCAAGATCAAATGGATGGACGAAAAAAGGAAGATGCCTCCAGAAGGATGGTCTTCACACGATGGGCGCGTGCTTTCAATTAGTGGTATAAATACTATGTTAAGATATTATTAAGTGCAATTTACTATATATTTTTTCGGAATCTCATTAATGCTGATTTTGTTAGATAAGCGAATTGATTTGAGCAAAGAGGAAAATAAATTTTGGACAGAAAAAGATAATTTTGATTCAGATCATAGTAAGAGTCCTCCTTCATCAAATGAAAGTAATTATGTTTTAATCAATAAAGAATCTGCACCAAAGAAATTAAAAGTGCAAGTTTGCAACTCCGAAAATAAATTAAAGCAGAAGGTTAGCATAGTTGCAATATGATTTTACACATATAAATTTTTTATTTTTTTCAATTTTAATAGCTTAGTGATAAAAGTATTGAAATGTCCCAAAAAAAAAGGTTTTGAGAAAAGTTATTTTTATCAGTATATCTATTTGACTTTTTATTTTTCTAATAAAAAAAATTAATATTTAATTTGTTTGTAACTTTAATGTATTTGGTGTTATGGATAATATTTAAATTTTTAAAGCAAAAAGATTACATAAATATAAGTTTAAATTAAAAATAAGTTTTTTTAAACTTGTTTTTTGTGACTTAGTACTTATAGCACTAAGCATTATTAGTTATTTTTAAATAGTTGTAAAGTTTCTGTATGTGTACCTCTATGTTTCACATGTCTTGATTATAAACAGAATATACTATGAACAAATGAAATATGAAAATTAATTCACTAATTTAAAATGTCAAATACTTTTCTAATTAATATCCTTAGAGGGAAGATTATGCAACAAAGTCATTTGATAAAAGAATTTTATCAGCTATTTCAAACAATAGCTATAATAATGAAAATAAAATAGATAATGAAAATAAAATGCCTTGGCTGTCACAATCACAAACTGTCAAAGCTGTTTTAAAACCTGAAAATACTTCAAGATTAGCAATGACAACTTCAAGTTGTTCGCAGTGCCATCTATTGGCTTCCACTGTACAAAAGTATCGTGATGGTAATTTTTAGCGTTATAATTATTAATTGACAAATTTTTGTTAAATGTTTTATTTTTTCCACTTGTTTTATTATTTATTAGATTATTTTTATATTTGATTAGTAACAATAACAAAAAGAATTATTGGTGAAAAAGATTGTTTAATTTAAGTAATTTAACATAAAAATCATACATAATACACCTCGTTTTGATAAAACTGATTATTAACACTATTCGAACCATTTAAATTTGTGCAACTAATAATTTGTTAGATATATCTAAATATCAGAATGTTTATGCTCTACAGAAATTGCTGCTATGACTATGCAAGCAGAGGAACATGCTCATATTAAAAAAGAATATGAACGAATGAAACAAATATTATGTAAATTAAATGATGGTGAGTTGAGCTTTTTTGCACTTTTGACAAAAATATTTTGTAAATGTGTTTATCTATGTTTGCCCAACTCGGTTTTAATAAAGTTTATATTTTTATCATATAAACTTTACTATGGAAAGTGCTATTGATTAGTTTAAGATTATTTAGATATTTAGCGATGAAATTTCCAGAATATGCTGCATGTATATACTTTATTTGTTGTTATTATAGACTTACCAAAAATGTTTGGATTCATGCAACAAAGCTTGACATCAGCCCTGAGCCAATCTAGTTCAGAGTGTTTAGACAATTCGTCTCCTATTATTTTACCCGAAATAGCAAGTTTTGCTGCACATAAAACGACCCTGAGTAAATCTGTGAACAATTCATCAGCAAATCAGCAAAGTAAGAACTTTTTTTTAATTTGTCTACTTCAAGAAAAATTTGAGAAAATGCATGCCCATTATAATTTGAGAAAGTGCATTGCCCATTAATATTACATAAGTTTTAGTTGTACCAAATCAATACAGGGTTAGACATAAAAACCCATACTATGAATCAAATCCTTGTTGATGATTGTTAATTAGAAAATAAAAGTGTTTTTCTTTGCTTTGTTTAAATCTATTTTGTTATATTTTGTTTCCCTGTATGTTAAAAAATAAATTTATAAACCTATAAATGCCTTCTTAGAGAATCAACAACTTATTGCAAATTCACTATCTACATCAAGTGTTACGCGAAATGCCATTGGGGTTCAACAAGTTGATGAGGTGTAAATATAAATTGTAGTACTGGAACAATTTAAATTATTTAATTATTGTATACTACTGCTATTATTGTTCATTATTAGTGTTCAGGCTGTATTTTTAGAATTGGAAAATTGTTGAAAACTCGTTTATATATTCAGGTCGGCACTAGAGTGCCGTACTGAATATATAATAGTAGCTTGCCGATGTCTTATCGGCAAAATTTTGCTTTTGAGTTTTTGCATCCTGTTACGAAAAGGCTAATAATTGGCAAAGCAAAAAAAAGATCGGCTTTTGCATTGCCGATCTATTGTTTGTCACTTTTTCCAAGTTGATACATCAGAAAGAGAATACATTTTTCTTTGTCAAATGCTAGTATGATCAGCATTAGATAAACATGCTTAATTGTATCTAGTTGCTATATGTTTAAGTGTTAGATGACATGGTATACTTTTACCAATTAAAATAAAATTTAAATGATTGTCGCAAGTTTTACGTTTAACTTTTAGATTGACCTGGGGTTTGGTGTCACAGTATCAAACACAAAGCTTTCCATGATTAAGTCGACAAGAGCAACTCATCTTGCTAGGTTACTCATGGATTTGATATTCACCCAAGAGGAGATGGCACAGAGTTCAGTAACAGGTCGTGTTTCTAACTCTTCAAAAGTAGCAAAGCAAGCATTGAATCCATCAAAAGTTGCTGCCCTGTTGGGTAAGATTGTTATATATTTCAAATTAAGACATTTGTAAAAATTATTTATGCATCATTTTTTATTGGCTTTACTAAACGTTATATTTTTATGCGATTGTTCAATGCGTAACTTCATGTATTACAAGTTTTGTATTTCCTGCTTTGTTTTGTAGCGTATGTTCATAAACAATTTCCTGGAGCTGATAACAGAATGATAAAGCAGTCAATGGCTGAAAAGCTGCAAGATGTAGGGAAAATCAAAAGGCGTCAAATGAAAGGCAATATTGTGGACGAAAAAGAGCCAGAGGATACTTTTTTGCAATAAACTTTTTCATTAATGTTTTTTAAAAGATTTTTGAATTTTACTTCGTTTATTGATTTTATTCTGCAAAGGCGATCCCATTGATTAAGAGAACTCAATAATATTAAAAAGTTGCGTGATAAAATTTGCGTTTTATGGTATATAAGGCAATTAAATTTACATTAGATTTAAAATGATCTGAAAACAAAACATACTATTTTACCATGGAAAAGCCATGGAATTATTATTATTTTTTTTTTTGTAGCATGTTTTAATGGAAAAACGAAGAGTTGTTAATGGAAAATCTATGAAATAACCCCATGGAAAAACCATGGGTATTTGGAACACGTTTTCATGGAAAAACCATGAGTTTTCCGTGGAAAACTTATGGTTTTTCCATGGAAAAACCATGAGTTTTCCGTGGAAAACTCATGGTTTTTCCATGGAAAACTCATGGTTTTTCCATGGAAAACTCATGGTTTTTTCATGGAAAACTCATGGTTTTTCCATGGAAAACTCATGGTTTTTTCATGGAAAACTCATGGTTTTTCCATGGAAAACTCATGGTTTTTTCATGGAAAACTCATGGTTTTTCCATGGAAAACTCATGGTTTTTTCATGGAAAACTCATGGTTTTTTCATGGGAACGTGTTCCAAATACCCATGGTTTTTCCATGGGTTTTTTTTCTAAAATTCCCATGGGAAATTTTCGTACGGGAGATTATTAAGAGTATAATATTTATTGTTTGTATATAATATTTATTAGTAATATATATTGTGATATTTGTATTATTAATATATATTGTGATATTATAAGAGTATTTTTTATTAGTAATATTGTTTGAGTATATTATTAAGAGTATTGTCAAGCAAAATATTATATATATTTTAGAAATTTACATAAATATGTAATATTGTGTTTGTTTTTAAAATAATTGCTATGTAAAACCGAAAATTGTATTTTTTTTGAGGCTTATATATTTATTTTTATATAAAAAATAAATAAAAGTTCGTAACAAAAATTTCTAAATTTGTAATCAACCAAATACACTGCCATCTTGGGAGGCCAAAACTGGCTTCAAAAATTTGCCGTTTACGCTACAGTCATTCTGGGTAACTTTGAATTTGCGTGTAACATTGAATACTAATCCGCGGAAAGTTTTGTCGTTTTTTGACGTTAAATTTAATGTAAACCCGCAATTAAAGCTATGAAACAAAATTATAAATAACGTTCAAATCCTAAAACGTGTATAAAAATACCTGTATAAAAATTAAGCATAATATTAAAGAAGCTAACGTTTTTTTAAATTAAAGATATCTTTCAAGTTAAATTTTCAAAAAGTGTTACGACTCATTACTAGGAGGAAACCATATTTTTCACAG